GTTCTCTAATTATGTAACGTTTTTGGATATCGATTGATCTTGCCGATTGTTTCCAAACGAATCGATTAGAATGTAAACAAAAGAGGCGACGACACTGAGCAACGTTCTTGCTTCGTTCGGGAGTAATCGAAGGGGATGAAACGTGTGAAACCAATCTCGTGAGAATGCGCGGGTGTGCGATTAAATAATTAAAAAAACGATATCGCGTGAAAGAAGAATTAAACGATTATCGAAAAAACATTATGCGGAATCGTTGATGGTAAAAATGAAAATCTCAACTTTTCTTCATTGGATTCTTCCATTCCAATTAATGTTAATTGTTTCCATCGTTTGTACGGAAAATAATCATGTAAGTAACTGTATGTGCAATTGTAAAAGTGAATTATGTTTTAATTATAAATGTTTCTTTCATTATATTTCTATTTTTCATCGAACGAGTTTCGCGTAACTAAAAAAGGCGGGAAACTGAAATTTCATCAATCCATCCACTGAGTTGAGTTTTCTATTGGGAAACGATTTCACAATGCACATTTCCAAGAAATAAAAAAACATTTCCTGTCTCACGAATCGACGAGTGTATCCTATTTCATTCCATTCCATTCCAACGTTCCTTTTCCTTGTGAGAGCTTCGTACCTCATCGACGAGTCAAACACGGTTTCTTCTTTTGATGTCGTGCCGACCACCGTTGCCCTTCTTTGTAACGAGCGGCCAAATGATCCCACTACCACGAATCCATTTGAACTATCCTAGATCGATGGTGTTTAAATTACTTTTATTTTCACGGATAATCAATGAATTTGCTTTTTATTTACAGATTAATAATTCCGAGATGAATGGAGATTTGGAAAATATGTATCGAAAGAAAATTTTGAATCTGCTTCAACCATCTTGGATGATCGATGAATTAATTAGAAACAAACGTAACGAACAGTTGGTCGAAGAGATTCCTACAAGACATGCGAAACATCGGAAGCGACGTCGTTACAGAAATCGATCGACATGCGTTGAAAGCACATCTGGGAGCAAATTGTCCCTTCGCCAGGACAACAACACGACGCCGATAGATATTCATATTTCTAACGAGACAAAGAAAAATCGTGATGAAAACAATACAGTTCTAGAGATCGAAGAAGAATTAGATGATATATTAGGGGTGAATGATCAGGTACAGGTAATTATTGGATAAACTGAAAAAAAAAAATAAATAAATAAATTAGAGTTATTTTTGTATTTAGGAGATGTATAATAAAACTAAAGAAGAGGATTATAATACCGATGTGGAGAAGAATAGAATTAAATCAAAGAAAGGAAATTTCGTTGTTATAGAACGAAACAATTCTACAAGTAATTTATCAGATGAAGGATTGATAGGTTCGTATGATGAACCATCTATAACTGATGAAATCGAGTATGAAAATATAGACCAATCTTGGAAAAAAAGAGATCGATCGAAAAAAGATAAATTTACCGAGAGTACAGATTACTCGGACGAAATATATTCTCCGGCTATTTACTCGGCTGCCGATGATCACGTTATAATCCACGAAAGTTTAAGCGATCTTCTGGTCAAATTATTTCAAAGTCTTCGAAACGCTACTACAACGGACGAACGGAATATTTTCAAGGAATTAAACTTTGTAAATGGAACAAATGAAGACCCTTGTCAAAAATGGTTAAATAGCAGGGATAAGCTCGAGCAAGTTTTCTTAGGTATGAATTCGTTCATTCAGACCGTTTTAAATATTGTATTTGGTTTCTCGAATTTGTTGTTACAGATGGTTTAACGTCATTACCTGCTTGCCCATGTCAATATCCTACTAATATTTTTTACGATGATAAAATTTGGGATGAGAAGCGAATGAAATATTTCAGATGGAGAGATGTAAGCGGTGACTCTCAAAGACTTGACGTTTACAAGCCAGGAGCCACTTACTGTATACGATCATTGCTGACACAGGGAAGTGGAAGTGCTGCGGTTCAACATTGCTGTTATGATCGCCAAAGGAAGCTTTTGACCCGTGGTTCCGGTGCTGGTACTCCAAACTTTGTCAGTCCTGAGATATCACCCATACTTCATGAAAGAATCGATATATTACCGTGGAGACTGTGCAAGGGTGACTTTTCCAGGTCTTTCAATATTTAAAAGCATTTTAATCTAAAGTTATTATGATATTCTAGTTTTCTCTTATATACTTATCATTAATATTAAAATTATAGGTATAACGGTGTACGACCACCAAACAATGACAACGCCTGTCAGGCCAATCCCGATGATGAGGAATATCAACGACAGATTGACAACACCAAATATTATTAACTATCGAGTTTTCAACAAATTTACAATATAGGATAAAAAATTTATAATGAAATTCTATTTTTATTTTTGTTACTTTTGAGCATATAAATATTTGTACAATGAAATTTAAGAAATAAATGTAACGCTGTTACAATTTTACCTTTTATACGATGATTTACGCTTATTTCTGCGCCAATCTTTTTGGTGGCATGTTTAAAAAGACGCGCTCTAATCGAAAGGAACTTGAAACCGGTTTCGAGTATATTACTGGCGCGTTTCCAGTCACGTTTCTTGCCCCTCGCGCTACTTCCCGAACGAAAGAGGGGAGCAAGACGAGTAAAGTCGATTCAATCGCGCGTGCCACCAGACCGTTCAGTTGTTATGGTTACTGCATACAAACATAAATGCGGATTACCTCTTAGCTAACCTATCAAAATTCAATAGACAGCTATGGATTGGGCTACGGATTTGGAAATTACTTCGAAAAAAGTAAGTCCTTAAATATTTTTCTAATAAATTGTATATAATTTATTATTGATTATATTAATATTATTGTTTTTAGCTTTTACCTCGTCTTGGTAGAAGATCGACGCAAAATATTGTATTAGAAGACTCTAAACTCGACGATGATCCTTTGGAAAGCCCTGTATCGTCATCCTTCGTGAAATCAGCACAACCACCTGTAGCGCCTCCTCGTACTAGAAAAACTGGATGGGGTGACGAATTGAAAAGCGGGAAGTAAGTTGTTTTGTATTGATTTCTATTAAAAATTTATCGATAATTTTCCTTTAATAATAATTTTAGGATACGTGGAGCTTCTATTATTGAACAGTAAGTATAACAAATAGAATTAAAAAAATCAGACATCCATAATCGCTGATAGATTATTTCTTAGAGAACGTTCTCGAGGGATAGAGAAGGATGAAATTATAGATGGTAAGAATTAATTTAAAAAATTATTTGAAATATAAAAATCTTGTAGGCAAGAAAATTGATTGTGATAGAATATTTGTAGATATTCCTGTAATTCCCGATTTGGATGAAATTCAGGAAGATAATGCGTTTTCTGATATTAATACGTCAACGTAAGTACTGTTATGAAGTTTTGCAAAAATTCTCATTCAATTATCTTCAATTTTTTTAAAACTTATAGAATGAACGTGAACAGAGTAGCTGCATACAAAGAACTTGATACAGATTTGGTGAAAAATGCTGCATTCACGTCTTTAAATGGTGTTAATCTTTCTCTTCTAGCAGAAAAATTATACAATGAAAATTTGACGAAAGAATTAGATGAAGTATGGAATTGGAATTTACTTTTTACTCAAGTTGCATCTGAAGTAAACAGCGAAGCACAAAAAAAATTGGCCACATAAATTTTATATAATTTTTTTATTTTAAAAATAAAATTAAAAATAAAAATAAAATCATATAAAAAAAAATATATAAAAAAAAAAAGTTTTTTTTCACATTATTTTATTTTTTATTATATTATATTATATATTATTTTTATAAAAAGTATTAAGTGAAATTTAATTAAATGTAAAAAATATAGTAATTTAAAAAAAAAACATGGCATACTGCTTATCTGCAGTGCCTGTATATGGAAGCGACAAATTATAACCTCGTCTGACCTATTCGATTGCCCCCCAATTTGGAAATCGCGGTAGTTCGAGGAGCGACGTGAAGGACTCAACCGTGCAGGCGTGCAGATCCGAGATGATGCTTAAAGCAAAACACCACGAACTTGCACGCGCAATCGGGAGCCAAACACAAGCTACTTGAAGCGACCACGTGACAACACCCACTGAGCAGATCTGCCATATTTCTACGTTAGCGATCAATGTTCAGCTGTGCCATCACTAGCACACACTTCCGATAGTTTCACTTTGATTCTGTTATATAAAGTAACAGAATACTATTGGACCACTTGCGAGAAAAGTACACATCATAAATACCATATATTATCAAACTTTGGAGAAAAAATTATACATTTAATATATAATTATAATTAATATTGTAACGAAATATAATATTTTAAATTAAGATAATCACATTATTAAGGTTTTCTAAAGCAATTTTTATATATTTATATAAATACTATATTTAAATGCTTTACTCGAAAGCCATCTAGTAGTGAAATTGATACTAAAATTGTATTATGAATCGACAATCGATATACTATACAATCGATATTTTAGTTTGATATAGTGAATTTATAAAATCGATATATCGCGTATATGGAATATATCGTTCATTTAAGTTTAAAATTAACAGAAAAATCATATAACCTGTTTACGTTAGAATTAATTTTATTCATATGTTGTCATCAAGTACAAAATTAAAAAGCACTTAAGGAAAATTTTCCGATTCTTTTAAAATGTTCTTTTAAAAGAATAAGCCTAATGTATTACAATGGGTACGGTGCATGCATCAAGAAAAAAATTAGAAGAACCAAGTGTAATAAGTAATGAAGATTGTATACCGTGCGAAGCAGAAGACAAAGCACCAGGAAATCCTGGTAGTTTCGAAGATATACATAAAAAGGTTAAAGATCTATATCCGCAAAACTTTGAAGGTGCGCGGCTCATCATCAACAAAATTCTTAGTCAACATTTTAATGTGACACATACTATTACTCTCAGTTCCGTTACCCCGTCTGGATATAAATTCGGTGCAAAATATATTGGTACAAAAGTGGTTAATCCTAATGAAAGATATCCTGTAGCTTCAGGAGATATCGCACCAAATGGAAATTTGACCGCCTCTTTTATGCATACGCTTGGATGTAGACTTAGGTACAAATTATCGGCACAAATTGCCGATGGAAAATGCAAAGCATCGAGTTCCAGTCTGGAATATCGGTCGAATGATTTCACTGTAGCGATAACCCTAGCCAATCCAAAATTTACAAAGAAGCAAGGAACAGTGGTAATACACTTTTTACAATCGATCACATCGAGAATTGCCTTAGGAGCCGAGATTGCATGCCTTCGTGGCTCAAAAGTTCCAGGCGGTCAACAGACGGTCATGTGCATGGCTTTTAGACACAGTACAGGACTTACAACATTATCTGGGACTATAGGTGAAGCGGGTCTTCATCTTTGTTATCATCGCAAAGCTAGCTCGCAATTGGAAATTGGGGTCGAGTTAGAAACAAATACGAGGACACATCAGTCAATTGCTACTATAGTTTATCAAGTAAATGTACCATATGCGGATCTTCTTTTCCGAGGTATCGTGAATTCTGAAACTACAGTCGGTGGTGTATTTGAGAAGAAACTATATCCAATTCCAGAATCCTCACTGATTATTAGCGCACTTTTAAACCATAGAAAACAACAATTTCGTGTGGGAGTTGGTCTTAATATTGGACAATAATAAAGAATGTATGATATAATTTGTTATGTGTAACTATCATCATGTTTCTTTTTTTCATTATTTATAAGAATAATAGAATCATTTCAATAATAACAGAAATTAACATAAGATGATTGTAATTATTTCTTTTAAAATTTTACAAAGTGAAAAAACTTTTGCAAACGTTACAATTTTCGTCGCGCAATAATTTGCGATAATGTATCGATCGCATTATATATTTTAAAGAATTGTTATGCTTACATATATATTGTAAAATATCTGAAAACTTTGCATGACGCTTTTATGTTGATATAAACTGAGTCTGTAAAAATAAAATTTTTGAAATTTTTTATATAATAACTGAAATGCAAATGTCCAACACCCTAATACTGTCACTTTTATCATTAAAAAAAATTTTTTTAACAACTAATATCTATTAATCGAATATTATTTTAATCGTCTCCGTTTGCTATCCTTTCATCCAAATCGTCGTATTCATGGAAAGCAGTTGTCTTTAATTTATCAAAATTCACTTCAAATTTTTCACTAAGAAGTCCATTTTCATCGGCGTATTCTAAAATATCACAGATCAATGGTGATTCCACACCTAAAACATACTCGCATGTTTTTGGTTCAAGTAGAAATAGAGAAACGCTGGATGGACTAGCTGTATGACTTTCAACGCATTTTAATTTCACCTGAAAATGACCAATATTTTAATAACTATATACAAAAATAAATAAATTACAAAATTTACAAACATATAATACCTCCGTTTGCCTCGGATTGCCAGTCTTATCGCAAATAGTACCATCACTATAGAAATGAGAAAGATGTTTCCGTAACTCTGGAGCCTTTGGTTTTTTATGTGGGTGCGCAGCGATCCATTCCAAATGTTTTTGCTTATCGAATTTACCAAGATTTACTATAGTTTTTTTACCATCGCGTTCAATATGATATTGAACCACAGAACGTCCATAACAAAATTCATATTTCCACCATCCATTGCCCTATTTATATCATATCATATATTATTGAATAAAAATATAATAAAAAGATATTATCAGAAATATAATATTTACCCCATGTAAACAATTTTTTCCACTTAAAAAATTCTTTACGGGACTCACTTCCGCTGGGCTAATACCTTGATCTGTTAATGAATTTATAGAATCTTCAATGTTACTATGTTTATCAATAACCCCAACGGGATGTATTTCAACTCTAACACGCGCTTCTCCATCCTGAAATAAATGTAAATTAATTAAATTTTCAATTGTGCGTCATGCAAAACGAACTTTCTTACGAGAATAGTTACAAATGTTAATATCAATTGTATGAATTTGTTAGAAATAAGAATGCGTTTTTCTCTTATGAATATTAATAAACAAATCCGGTTCCATTGTTAAATTATGATTTTATAGTATTTTAATTTTATAATAATTTATACTTATTTTGAAAATATATGCTTCATATAGCATTTTATGTATGTGATGTAACATTAATCCTTAATTAAAAGCAATATGTGAAGCAAAAATGACAAATACCTTAAATTTAGCTGAATAAGTAAAGCAGTGGATATGCAATGCTAAAGATAAAATGGTGCATAAATAGCATTCATAATGTTATTGTAATATTTTTTTGGAAAAATTGTAGATTTAAAGGAAATAACTGTATGTAGAAAAGGAAGGGACAGAATAAGATACAAATTAATGGCGACAAATGACAAGAACCATCAAGCACTTTGGCCTGATCCCAAAAATACAAAATATTCTGACCTGGCCCTCCTTATCTACATGGAAGATTGCATAGACTTTCTGCAGCTTGTCATCCTGTGCAACAAATAGTTAATTTAATGTATGTAGACAGTAAATAATAAAAATAACAAATCGAAAATTGTTATACACTAAAAAGACTAGCTTAAAGGTACAAGTCAAAATTACTTCAAAAATCTTTCATAAAATAGAAATATTTAATTAGTTCAGAAAAAATATATAATTTTATATTAATGTATTGTTTTTTACTATTGAATGGCACATTATTAGAACATATTTAAAAATCTATTCTTATTTGAAAATTTTGCATAAAAATGTGTTTCATATAAATCAATAACAAAAATTATCACTACCATACACAGAAAATATAAGTAAATATATTTTATTTTAAATAACAATATTATATACATATGGCACAAGCATAGTCAGAAATAAATAACTGAATACAAAGAACGCACAGAAGATGGTTTTACCGTTACTTTTTGATATCGAAGTTTTAGACTTTCCATTTCCATTGCAACAAGAGATCTTGGCTTTTTTGGAGCATTATCAAGTGGATGGCAATTAATTTCATTTTCGCCTGTAGCTTGAGGTTTGTAGTCAGGATGACTACATAACAAAGGAGAGAGGACAATAACCTCATATTCACAGCTAGAAGGTTCTTCTAATGAAAATAATTCATGTTTACCATGCTGATAACAAACATACAAAACTTTTATCTTTCTTGGCTTATTAGTTAAATCACAAACAGTGCCATCAATCATTTCAATTTCAACATATGGCATATTGATTCCATCAACTTTTTTTACTGGTATATTTGCTTTTTTAGTAGGATGTGTTTCTTTTTCTGCATATTCAGCTAAAAACTTTACCTCTTGTAATTTATCAAAAATACCCAAATAATATTCTTGAGTCTTTACTTGTTTTCCATCTCTATCTTCATGATATTGACGTGCATATCGTCCATGGCACAATTCATACGACCAATAAGATTCAACCTAAAAATATATATAATTTTTATATAAAATTCAATTTTTTATATAATTTTTATATAGTATATTAATAATATTTATAATGTATACTCTATAAGAACAAGTGTTTTGTTTAAATAATAGTGATAAAATTTCTGTTGGATTTGGTCCAGTATATGGTTCATTATAATCTTGTTCTTGCTCTGAATTATCAACAATTAAGCATTGATATCGTTCCTTATTTGCAGTCGTTATAATATAAGGTTCTACATTTGGTCTAGATTCCTATTAAAAATATATAATATATATAATAATTTAATATTAATTTATATTTTTTAATATTAATATTTTTTAATATCAATTTTATTTTATTAATACTTACTAATAAATCCGAGCCACCTTTGCCTGGCCAATTAATTTTAAAAAGAACTGTATCATCGAAACTTCTGAAATCGTGTCCATATACAATAGTAATTATAATACACAATACATTGTAAATACCACAGTATTTCCACATTTTAATAAAATTGCAATTATTTCATCATATCTTTAGACAAAGTCTATATGAAATATCTTCGGACTTATGACGACAGCAATATATCTACGTTAGGTCATTTATGTTTCGTATCACAACTTAATGGTTAACAAACATTTGTCCATATACATTTAACAGACACTATATTATATGAATACATTTAATTTGAAAATAATTTAAATTTTATATTTTATGTATAAAATATTCTACTCTACTTGTTTCAATATTCTACTTTATCTGAAAAGATTTTCTTACGATGTTGACACTATACTTATAGAATTTTTAGTTCTTTGATTAACCCCAATTATATCCAAATACCAATAATTTTATACCACGTGAACAACATGCGTGGTCATTTTTTATTACAATGTTGTTCAGCTTTATAAAATATAGTGGAAGAAGAATACTTGATAAAAACATATAATTGTTTATAACAATTTTTTTTTATAAGTCGAATTTGTTTTTTAATTCTATAACAGGAAAACTTTGTTTTCATCTTTGAAGCTCAGGGTCTAAGAAAATAGCTGTACGCACCTATCTTGAAAATATCAAGTGATATTTACGTATCAATACAAATTTTACAGATGGCGTTTACAACCTATAAAAATTCAAATTCCCGCGCAATCAATTAAATTATATAAACATATTATTATAAACTGAATAATTTTCTTTTAAACAATTTAATTAATTTATAAATAAATATTGCCATTCTAATGGATCTAATACAAAAATTTATTCCAATTGCTATTAATTTAACACATTGTAGAGAAAGATTTCATGTTCGGAAGTTTATAGAACCGCCATTGCTATTAAGTAATCTGACAGCGATTCGACGAAATCATTTCTATTGCTAAAATTTTGTGAGTCTGGTGTGCCTTCTCGATAGTAATACGTTTAGTCTGTGATTCGTGACCAAGAATCGAAATCGGAAACTGATCGAAGCAGGAACAGGCATCAACTAGTTCGACCTTAAAAGTCATTTGTCGTTCATCGTATATTTTATAGACGAAAATCTGTGATAATTCCAGAACGCATACTTTCAACTATAATAACATGTCGGATACAAGACGACGACGAAAATCTAATCAGTCTTGTGGTTCTGACGACCTCTCGGACTCTTGTGAAGAATTAAATGCAACAAAAGAAACCCAGGTTAGTTGCTATAAAGGTGTTTTCGATTTTGCATTTTGAAGAATTGAAATAAATAGTTTTATTCTTTTTTTCACGATTTCACTTCCAAGTTCTTATTGTTCATCAAACTTTTTGCTTCTTATTGAACTGGATCGAAAGTTCAACGGAAGACTCGATTAAGTGGATTAAGTAGACTGCTGTAATACTTTTTCATAACTAAGTAGACTTTTCTTTATGTTCGATTTACCGGCAAGTGGTTTTGCGTATTTCATAATTTCATTGCATATAAAAATCCAAATGAGATTTTGTATATTAAATATAAATAAAATGTACTTTCATAATATCAGAAAAAAATTTTCAAAAATAATTTTTTAATCTATAAATATCATATAAGTTATTATAGTCCCATTTTTTGTTTCTTTGTACTTCCTTTATAAATTTTTACTTATAGAGCAGTGAACAAACTGATGGTCATCAAGATTCAGAATGTGAAATTTATCCTTCTGATTCTGATGCTGAATCTCAAGATGGTGCATTGCGAGAAAGTGGTGATGGCCAAGAAGAAGAAAAACCACAAAAAAAATTAGATGATGATGAAGACAGACGTAATCCACAATATATTCCTAAGAGAGGAACATTTTATGAACATGATGATAGAACAACTGATGAAGTAATAGATAGTGCTGCTGAATCACAAAGTGAAAGAGAAACCAAAGAAAAAAAAGTATGGAAAGATAAAGAAGATAGGTGGGATCATGATCGATATAATGATGAAGAGCAAGCACCAAAAAGTCATGAAGAATTAATAGCAGTTTATGGTTATGATATAAGAAATGAAGAAGGTCCACCTAGAGCTAGAAGAAGAAGAAGATATGGGTAAATATATTTTTAAAAATACTCTAATTTTTATAATATTCTTTTCTTCTTATTATATTTTTTAGTCGTGGACCTAATAAGTATACACGTAATTGGGAAGATGAGGATGCATATGGAAAACCTGGGAGTAATATTCTAAATAGGAATAGAAGATTTAATAGAAGTGGTGAAGATTTTCCAGCTCTAGGAACAAATAAAAATGCTTCTGCACATGTAGAAGAACCAGTAATCTCTTCAGCTTGGTACAGCAGTAAAAATAAATCACAAAATAAAGTACCAAATTTTCCACCTCTACAAACTCAAAATGATACAAGCTCAAAAACGAAGTCTAGCCATACATCTACTACTCATACGTATGTAATAATTTTATTTAAATGTATTATATTTATTACATTTTTTTATTTATTCAATATATTAAATAAAAAAATAAATATTTCAATTTTTTTATTTATAGAAATGAAAATAAAGCTCCTAATGAACCTACAAATCCAGCTTGGAAAAAAGATACTAAACATTCACCTCATACACAAAATAGTAATGGAAATAGTGGAGCTGGTGGTGATGCTGATAAATTAGTTAATACAAAAACCTCTCCAAGAGATAATAACAAGAGGAACATTCAAGAGTCTGTAAGCTTGGCAGCAAGTAAAACTCGTGGACGAGGATTCAGAACAAATGCTAATAACAATATGGTCACCAATAGAACAATTGAGACTAAACCAAAGGGACGTGGAGCGGGTCCAATTTCCACAGAGAATAAAAGAAATAATATACGAAGTGATGATGAACAACAAATTACTCATGATATGAAACATATTAATGTTAATGATAGTGCTCAATATCATCAAAGTGGAAGACATAATAGTGAGTCTTTAATGCTTATTTATTTATAAGTAATATTATGTATTATTTTGTTATTTAATATTTTTTTAGAAAGCTTTTATGGGCAATCCTCAAATCAACAGAGGACAGGAACTGTACCTCCAAGAATGCAACAACAATCTCATTCACAACAACAACAACCACAGCAACAACAACAACAGTCAATTCAACAAGACAGTTCTGCTAATAGGCCAAAACGTTATTCTAGTTTGCGACAGCGACCTACTATTTCAGATAATCCAGGTCAACAAAATTATCCACCACAACATGGACAACATAATCAACATAGTCAACATAGTCAACATAGTCAACACAATCAGCATAATCAACATGGACAACATGGCCAACATGGTCAACATGGATATTTTTCTCCTCAAGGTATATGCATATTCATGCATTAAAATTTTCTTTTTTGTTTATAAAATATTTTTATGGATATAAATATGGATAATAATATAAATATATTTATGTTATATTAATATTTAACTTATATGTACATGTATTTAGCTGGAAATTCAAGAGGTGTTTTAGATTCACAAGGTGAGATAATGTAGGTTATTTAAACACAATGTTTTATTTATTTCTCTTTCTTTCTTTCTTTCTTTCTTTTTTTTTTTTTTTGTTAAATAGACATAATCCTTCAAGTACACAGATAATTATGTTTTATTTTTTATTTTATATTATTATTTAATTTTTTTGAATTTGTAACTATGTTCATATATCATGTTTCATATTTTTTATTTTTATAGGATATCCTCAAAGTCATTTTGAACAATCTACACCTGTTGCTACCGCAACTGCACCTTTGGCTGGACAACCTGTGATTCCTATACCACCTAATGGTCAACCTGCTAGTTATGCTCCACCACCATTTTTAGTACCACCACCGCAATTTATTCCTCCACAAACTCCAGCTAGTATAATTAATTATGTTTCTGGTCCAAATGGACCAGCATTTCAACCAAATTATCAAGGTTATCAAGGCTATAGTCCACCAGTACAGGTACATTTTATCTCATTAAAATTTCAAAATTATATTATTTTGAAGTTTCCATATGCTTATTTTATATTTTATAGCCACAGCGTCCTCCACCTCCACAAGAATTGTTCCAACCGCAAGGTTGCACTTATTATAGTCCAGCTCAACAACAACAACAATCAGCTCCAATGAGACGGCCAAAGGCGGCTATTCCTATTCTTCCACCACCTGAAAATCAACAACACCAAACCGGTCGAGGAAGAGGTAGAAGCACACAGCCTCAACAAGTGAATCAACCTGGTAGTATACAACAGACTGAACAAGAAGTTAAAACTAATTCGGTGGAAGATGATCAGAAGATTATATCAGAACAATTTGATAATATGCAAATCGAACAGCCTACGTCAGATGTTCAAGAAACACAGAAAATCGAAGATTCGAGTGTAATAATGAATACTGTGGTTGAGAATACTGAAAAAGAGAATATTAAAAATATCGAACCTGAAGCTACTGTGAATTTAGAAAATACTACTGCGGATCAATTAAATGATATAAGTGCTAATGACTCATCAAAAGTCATTATAAATGAACAAGATATTATTCCACTTAAAACTACGCAAGTAATAATTGAAGAGACTAAAAATGATTCAAATAAAATTGAAAGCACTACGACTGAAATTACTGCTGTTGAAGAAACAGCAGCTTGAGAGAACATCGCACAGCGTGTAACGTATCTTACAAAAAACGTAATTGTTACATTTCGTGAGTATGAGTATGCATATATTATAATGCTGTGTAATTTTATTGAAGTCTGTATAGCAAAATGATCTTCACGAATTATTTGTGAAATATTATAGGAATTGGATGTGTGCGTATCTAAAACATATTTTGAATGACTATCTAATTCCATTATATTGTTGTATATTTCGTAGTTTACATTTGTATTAATGTTTCACTACGAATTCCATCAATCTGCTGCTATCATTAAATATCATTCTTCTATATTGTTAAACTCTTTTCATATATGAAATCTACTAATAATTAATTAGTAGAAACGATTAGTGTTAAACATATTATTGTATATCGAGTATTAACGCATGCAGCATTGACTGATGAAATCATCAATAAATCGATATATCTTTTTAATACAATGGCTACTGTAAATAGGATATAGTCAGGTCAGTAACCTTAATACGTGTTATGTCTTTTGTGTACAAATGAGTTTGTACCGTGATTTAAGTAAATGATGAATGAATGGAGTACATTTATTAGGTAAAGAATTACTTAATGCTTTAATTTTATTTACATTAGGACAGCAAAAAAAATCTTCGATCGCATATATTATGAAGAAATAATCGTTATATAATTTAGTATATCTTAAAATCTAATTAAGACAAAATTGATACTAACTATAAAATTTATCATTTATCCATTTTAATCGACTTTTCATAATAGCTTCGAAAGGTTGATATCGCGATAATTTTTTTTTTTTAATACGCTTATAAAAATATGCTTTGTTACTGGCAAGGTGAAATGGAAAGATAATATATTGATAAGAAATTTTTCCATATATGACTAAATTTATTTTCCTCTTTTTGAGTTATTGAGTTTTTCAAATTTCTCAAAATGCACGAACGTATCAATTAATGTTAATTTATATACAATTTTCATCAACAATGAAATGAGATTATACGAATAATAGAATTGATTTTTGGGTTAATTTCTATACATGACAAAGATGTACATGTATAATTATAACGAATTAAAGATAAGTTCAAGATTACATGATGTACTAACAACAGTGTACAGAATATGAAATTTGCATCACATATTTATAACATGTAGCGTATATATACATATAGTATATATATAATCTTATTAAATATTTTACATATAATTTTGTCGGCGTATGTTCGACGTATCGTTTAAAGAATACATATACATAATTATTCTAAATACAATCATTCTATTAGAAGAATGATTTACAAATTCGTATGTGCCTATGTTATAATTCATGCTCTACAAGAATAAACGTCGAGCTTCTCCCTGGTAATTCTTAATATTGTAAGTACATTTTAGATAGCTCAGTGTTTCGTTATCTAATGAATTCATATTTCAATGGATATTAAAAGTATCTAACAATTTTTACAAATTTAAAAACTAAATATGATTATCAAGTTCTTTTTGTTACTTATCGAATAAAATATAATTTTTGTTGTATTTATCTATTATCTTAATATTAAAGTTCAAATTATATGTAAATAAATTATTTGTGAATCTTATTGCGCGTCTAATAATCATAATGACTAATATAGGTATATGCTTACGATCAGTCGTGTTTTTCGTTTTGTTGAATGCTGGTTATAGCACTGAGAGGTATAATTTCGGTGTTTCGTTGAAGGTTGTTATTTTTAAACGTTGTCCGTTGTATCGTCATAGTCCGAGTTTTAATTCGAGGAAAATTAGATGTGCTCGCAAGATATCCGCGTTGCATGCGAGAATTACTTTCTCGAGTACAGCGAAATGTACGCCTAAATTCCTTTCGAAATTTCCCTGTAATAAAAATCCTTGTGATTAATTATTGAATATTTTCTATAATATTTTCAAGTATATGATATAAATAAAATAATTTACGTTGTTTTAATTCTAATATTATTTTCAAAAAAGTAAATTGTTGTAAGATTCATTTAAAATTTAACATTATAATTAATATTGATGCTAGTAGTCTTGTCTATACTTTAACGAAAAGGGTAAGCCATATAATATTTTGTTACCGAGCATTTTAAAATTAATTAGTCATTTCAGATATGTTGTTTAAATATCATAATTTTTCAAAAGAATAGAATAAAGATTTTAAGATATTTAGATATTTGCAACAATCTAAATAATCGATATCAATAATTCGATTGATTTCGTTTTCAAAATCATTGAAAAATTACGTTTCCGAAATTAAAAAAGTTTACTTTTCGATAGTCGGCCAATATATAAAATAAAGTGGTTAAATTAAAATTAAAAGTATAACAAGTATTATAAAAATTATTTTGAGAAATAGCCCAAAACTCTAAAATATAATATAGCTCACCCTAAGCGTCATTGAAATTGCAGAGGGTAACATCCAAACTACATCATTCATGGGTAGATTCGTTTTTGGCTTGAGTTCCTTCCACGGTAATAGTAGAAGTTTTTTTCCAAGAGACTCGCATTTCCGTATGTCAGAATTGTTCACGATTTTTCGACGGTGTAGAGCGATATTCATTCGCTATATAAGCGTAGCTGGGTTGCTGATTTGCTAGCCTGCGACCGTTTGAGGGATTCGAAGGGGAGCATTCTCGAAATGTACGACCAAACTCCTGCCGGAACTTACCTGTAAATCACATTAAATGTCTTTTTTTACTCTTTTACATTTGCTATCACTCTTATTTCCGTTCTCTTTATGAGAACCAGAATTATTAAATTTATAAATAAAGAATAATTACAGATATATTCATATATATATAATATTTCTTTTGCGAATTAAAAAATATTATTTTTATTGATATAGAATATATCGGAAAATTTCGAATTAATAACAAAAGAATTTTTTAATCGAACGGTATAATGGTAAATTTAATTATATAAGATAAAAATTGTGTACGAAGTAAAAAAATCAAGTCATTAATTGATCAATAGTTGAAACGAAACAATGCTTTATTTGATTATAAATTTTTTTAAAAAAGATGAGAAATCCAAGAAAGTAAATTATCATCATAATGATGAATGCTTCTAATAATAATAATAAGTTCATAATTTTGTAATGATATCAATAATTAAATTTATAAAACAAGTAAAAATGAATCATTCTATTCCATTTCACAAAGATATCAATTTACTCATATTAGCACTTTTATCAAATTGTTTTGCATTAAACTTGTCAATTTTATGAAGGAAACATAAATGGAACAATATAATGGGAATACATTGCTGTAATGCAAATTTATAGAAAATCAATTATATACATCAATGAGATTTTAAAACGATATAAGCTATTTATCATTCATTGGAAAAATTAACTAACTACTAATTAACCAACTAATTCTCTGAATCGAAACACGTTGGACAAAGTATTATTTGTTTGCAGCTAATGAAAGTAAGAAAATAAGAAAATAAGTTGTTTACCGCTCATGAAGTTGTAGATCAGAGGATTAACTGCACTATTGAAATAGCATAGGCCATGCGCGATTAAACTGATAGCATTTATCCATTTGTTCGATGGCAATGTAGTGGTATACCTGAAATATTAAATAATATTATCTATTAAGTATCTATATCGATTTTAGTAATAATTTCCTATTAATGATTCGAATATTTTAATTTAGATTTTAAACATTAAGGAAAATTTACTCAAATAGTAAAAGTTACCTTAAAACGGAGAGTAAATGCACGGGAAAATAGCAAATGGCAAAAATGATGACCACCGTGACCAACATCTTTGCTGCTTTTTTTCGAGATCTTAGCTGCACTTCCGGATTTCCGCCACCGGATGTTGGAATCTGATTCATCTGAGATGCTCGTGACGATACTGTAAATGCTTCGAATAATTATTCACGATCTTATCTTGCTATTACTTTTATTCTCGCTAAGATCATTAATTATTCATTGAACAGATTTACATATTATTGTATTAGCATTTTCAAATATTTCCGCAAATATTAAATGTTTCATAGAATATATCTTCAGATTATTGAATATTAACAGTATAAGAAACAATGATACAAAAATTTTACGAGGAAAAACGTATACATATAAACGATTTTCGATTTTATTCGAGATCACGTTACAAGTTGCAGAAATATTCTTTATAATGATTCATTGCGTTTTATTATTATAGGCAATTAGTCATAATTCTATTTATAGGATATGAATAAATAAAAATTAATCATTCGCTTACAATTATGCCCTGGAATGTCGCTTTTCCAAAGGACTTTTACAATCTGCCAATACGCTACGCTCATGAAGATCAAAGGTCCAGTATAGAGGAAAATTAATTTGACGATAATGAAGATGACTTGATTCTTTTTACTCCAGGATATATTACATTGTGTGAATAAAATCGTTTTTATTTTGATGTGAGTAGGTGGGACGGTATGCAACACCACAAGATCTGGAATATCTGCACAAACGTTGAGTGTTGGTGCATGGTTTTTCTCATAGTTTGTCAGTAACTAAAAATAACATGTCGAGTGCCTTAATTTTGAACCTAGTTATTCTATGCATGCGTATTCTAAACAATACATATACGTGCCGTTCAACAATTTATTTAAAGAAAAATAATAAATTTTACGTGTATAACTACCAAATAGAAGAGCTATTGTCCAAATTCCGATGATCGCATTTTTTGCCCATCCTGTGGTAGATTTGAACCTCAGGGGAAAGCATATCGCGTACCATCGATCTATCGATATAAAAGTTAAGGTTAATATGCTCACAGTCACGGATACTGTCTGAAACAAAAAATCAAGATCGGGATATCATTATTAAAATATATGCATAACACCGCAATCGTTAGATATTAAAAATGAAATTACAAGAAGATCTAGAAAGATGATTTTAAAAAAAGAGGCTTAAGAAACTTTATTTGTAATAATTGAATTTTCATATCCGATAAGAAAATAAATTAATAATTTCCTTGATTAATAATTTTAATTTTCGCTCATTTACAAAAATTTCCATAATTTCGCTATAAAATTTACATGTCGCGCCACCAGATTAACGTTGAGTTCATATCATTTAATAGTACAGCATTAATTGGCATCTTAAAGTAGTCGGGTAAATGCAAACGTTTATGCAGATCTAGAATTTCTTACAAGCATATTCTACGTTTTGACTTTTTATCCGATAACATGGTTTATTTGCAGTCGGTCTAGAAAGACACGTCATGAATATAAAACGAGCAGTTAGAAAATATAGACGAGGAGATTCGGATAAAAATTTTGCTTCTTGGCAAAAAAAAAAAAAAAAAAA